AGACTAGATGATCATAATGGTCCCTTCTGACCTTAAAGTCTATGAGATATTCTTGCATTTACTGTGAGGCGAAAACATCAAATTCTATCTGTTTCTGTCACTGACTTCCTTTGTTAACTCCTTAGTCTTTGTGTGGCCCCCCGTCTTCTCTGTTGTTTTTTTTCTTTGAGCTGTTCACGTCTTCCAGAGTCACCATATTCTCTCTTGGAATAATACATTATTGGATGGGCATGGGTGACAGAGGTCATCTGATAAGTGCTTTTCAAAGGCAGCAATTTATTCCTAAGCCTGTTGCTACCATCTCTTTCATGAGGAGAAAGGCTCCATTCACTAGTAAATGCTCTTTTCATAGTACAAACAGAACCTTTCTGAATGGTCACAGCATACTTAAGAAAAAAGGTAACAATATTGTATTTTCCATACCATTAGCAGTTCCAATATTTTGAAACTCTATTAATAAAGTTAAAGACCTCAAAAAGAAACTTGCCTATAAAATATTACAATTAGCCTGCTATGTCAAATAGAAATGATGTATGCATATTACATTGTAAGGGTCATTAAAATGATATCTTGTCTGAATAGAGTGTGACTTGCATATGTCTGCATTTATATGTCTGTTCTCTAGAGTCCATAGTCTCACAAAGCAACCTTTTCATTTCTGTATTCCAGAGCTTGCTGGAAATGGTACTCATTTGCTTAATTGCTTAGACTTTTTTCCTATTATATTTTGTTTTTTGTTCTACATTTTTTTATTCTGGTGTAATAAAAGCTGAAGGGAGAAGGAGTGAGACCTTCAGGAGCAGGGCCGGCTCCAGGCACCAGCAAACGAAGCAGGTGCTTGGGGTGGCCAATGGAAAGGGGAGGCACGTCCAGGTCTTTGGCGGTAATTCGGCAGCAGGTCCCTCAGTCCCTCTCGGAGCGAAAGACCTGCTGCCGAATTGCCGCTGAAGAATGAAGCGGCGTGGTAGAGCTGCCGCCGAAAAGCTTTATCTTTTCTTTTTTTCCCATCGCCGTTTGGGGCGGCAAAAAAGCTGGAGTCGGCCCTGTTCAGGAGATGCAGGAGGTTCTAACAGGTAGACAGAAAGACTTAATATAATTCACTAGAGAATATTATTATTCACATCTCTGGCTGCAGAAAGGGGCCTTAGGATAAATGAGAATCAGGCCCATGATATCATGTTTAGATTATAAAAAAAGGTGAACAGATTTGATCCAACCAGTTCATGACAGCAAAGCCTTATAACATCTGAGGGGAAATATTTTCAGTATTTTTATGGTGCTTTGAACAAAAAATGCAAGAACCTTTTCTGGGGTTGTATGTATTGTGTTTGAATGCTGAAGACACTATGGCAGGAGGTGGTTTGTACAGTTACTCTCCAGTTTCCAATCCAAAAGGAATGTTTGGATACCTGTCAGTTATTGTATAATGCTGTAATGTCACTGTGGCCTCTTTGCCTGCTTCCTCTCCTTTGGGTGAAAGATCATTTTTGTACCAGTGCAAGCACCTGAGAGTAAACCAAATGTGTTGCTTCTATGCGGTCAGTGGGATGACTTGTAAAATGGTGGCCAGGCTGTAGCTACAGTACTTAGACTATAGAATGATCCCTTCTCTTATTCCCAGGTAACATGTTACACCTTAAGCAGCAAGTGCCAGCTGAGAGTAAAGAGCAATACATGCTATTGCTGTGACCTGTACAATTGTGAAAAGTAAGTACATGCTCTATCAGAATGTGTATGTTTATTTGTACAGTATGTGTATTCTAGAGTACAGACCCTTTGCATTTAGGCCAGTATCCTGGGAATCAGCACACAGCTGGCTAGCAGGCTATGCACTGGTGATAACCCTGTGAGAAGGCACATGAATACTCCCCGCCCCAAACTGCAGAGCCAGTGCATGGCCAAAAAGCTGCAATAGCACCCACATTGCCTGCAGCACCCTTCACATAATACAAATAGCCCCCCTGCATTCAGCCACACAGTAGGTCCCTATGGTGAGGTCTGTACTGCACAGGAGTGTGCATTCCCCTGATCCTGTTCTCCCTTCCCCATGGACATGTAGGATAAACTGTCTCTGGGGGCCCTGCTCACAGTGGAGAAGGGGACATGGTTTGCCCCTCAGTGCTCTTATTATTTCAGTGGGTTTTCTTTAAAAATTGTCCATAGGATTTTGTTATGTGGCCACCAAAATAAATAAATAAATAAAGCACAACCTTGTAAAGACTCTTTGGTGAGCTAGTATTACAATTTTCAAAATGGATTTCATGTGATCATTTGTTCACTGATCTCTGGGAAGCAAAATTAATGGAAATATCATTTCCATGTCAAAACTGTACATCATAGACAGGGCCTTGGCGTTTTCACAAGCATTTATGTGCTCAAGGGATTTTATTCAATGGCCATGAGGATAGGTACGGTATAAAGGAGAATGTTGATCATATTTCCAAAAGATTTCCATTTTAAGTCAATCTTACCAAAACACAGGCTGAGAAGATATAACCGTGGAAGTGCATGAATATGCTAGTCAAGTAACAGTAGGTGACTACATCAGCCCTTGGAGAGAGGCTAGCCCAAGATGGGCTCAGAGTGGTGGTGCAGCAGGCTGATGTGGCCTCCCCTAGCTGGCAAATAACACTATTGCCAAACAAAATAAACTCATGAGATTTATTTCCAGCCTGAAATCCCTTCCCAGTGCCTTCCTTATTGCACACATGTACGTCAGTACCATTGCAAGCAGCATCGTGTTGTGTAAAGAGCAGGAAACTCTCAGGAAAATCTCCTGGGGTGGGGTGGGGCTGGTAGGGAAGGGGGAGATGCTGGCTCTTGTGCTTTTTGTGTACCAGCTGGAAAGTGCTATTTCACATTTTAGTGTCACACACACCCTAGATTGACCTCCTGAACCCCCCCAAGTTCACATCAGAGCTCTCATTTTTTGTTTTTACCCATGCCTGCAACCCTGAATGACCCAGCCCTCCTCAAACCTAGGTTGCCACATACCGGAATTCCAAAAGTCATACAAGTTTGAGAGAAGGTTTTCAGTGAAACTGGCAGAGAAACGGACAAATATGTTTTGCTTTTGCAAACTCCCCCCCCCCCCAAACAACAACAACAACAATAACACATTTTGTTAAGCTTTGCTTCCCTGAAGGATTAAAGTGAAGTTTGGGACTAGAGGGAGATAAGAGTTTCCCCAGAATGCTAGAGCAGTGGATGAGTTTCTGGGGTTCAGATTTATAGAACCAATTTGACAATGTCAAAGCCTGGATGAATGCTTTTCTTTCCTTGCCTATGAGATGCTAAATCGAACTGCCATGGTATGTCTGCTACTGATCAGGTTAGTGCCATCTGTCCTTTTGTAATTTTAGTGAAAGCAATTTATTCACTCATCCTAGTGTGTGTATGTTTTATTTAACCTCACTCTTAGGGTTTTCAGGAAGCGGTTTGGCCTGGTTAAAGAGGTGAGAAATAAGAGGGTAACAATAGAGGTGCACAAAATAATGCATGGCATAGCAAAGGTAAATTAGACTGTCCTATTCACCCTTTTTATAGTATAAGAACAAAGGGAAATCCACCTGAATTCAAAGGTGATATATTGAAACTGGGAATATTTTCTTAACGAGACATAATTAATGGTGAATCTCACTGCTGCAAGGTAACATTGACTCCAAGAGGTTAGCAGGATACAACACAGAATTGATCCTTACATGGATAAATAGAACATCCACAGTTATGGGATAGAGTGAAAAATATAAGGGATTGAAAGTTAACCCTTTTGCTTCTGGGCATGAACCGCTAACTGATAGAGGCTTGGAAGAAACTCCCCTGTAGGCAGCCCATGGAGCCTGTACATTATGGGCCTTCTTGCACCTCCCTGTGAAGCACCTAGTACTGGTCACCACCCAAGACAGGAGATGATTTTATTATCTATTTATATTGTGATATTGGAGAGACCCCAACCAAGATCAAGGCCCCACTGGGCTAATCAATGAACAAACCGACTGAGAGACCATCTCTGCCCTAAAGGCTTTAGCTGTTTTGTCTGTGCAGATTGTACAGGGTGCAAGGGAAAACAGGCACAGAGAGGTGAAGAGCTAGATTCACAAAGGTGCTTAGGCACTTGCGTTCAACATTTAGGCATCATGAATGTTCTCAAAGCCATGGCTCAGCTTGCCATCTCATCCTAAAGTCCCCAAAGCACCTACATTTCTGCCAGCAGGCATGTGCAAAGCCATCCCTGTGGGCTAGGGCTTTGCACAAAAGCCAGTCTGTGGGGGTGCAGAGGGGTGTGTGTCCCAGAATGCCCAGTAAGCTGGTGGTTCAGAAACTCACCTGGGAGGTGGAACATCTCAGGTCGAATCCTTGCTCTCAAGCAGGTGCTTGAACACAGGTCTGTCACCGCACAGGTGAGTGCTCTGATCGCTGGGGTGCTGGATATTCTGGGGCGGGTCTCTCAGTCTCTCCTGTTGGAGCTGTTCTACTTCATAGAATCAATTAAATATTTAGATTTATCAATAACAATTAAGGATGCCATTAGGCAGCAGAGCACCTAAGTACCTTTGTGAATGTGACCAGTGCTAAGGGGACCATTGGCTTTATCTGCTATGGTGATCGATGTCTACGATGGGATGTAGCTGACCACAGCAACAGGTGGTGTGCTGCCACCACTATGCACTGCAGCAACAGGTTTGATATTTATATAAATACTCAGAGCTGGCTTGGCTCTGCACAGGAGCACTTTAGGTTTCTCCAGGCCTTCCCTTTCTCCTTAGCATTTTCCCTACCCAGCATCCCCAGTTGCACTCCATGAGCCTCACTGGAACTCAGAGCAAAAATTTCACAGGACACTCTTCTCTGCCTTTCATCAAAATGTCCCCATGGTGAAGGGAAGGGCTTCGGAGGTAGCACGCATATCCCTAGAGCAAGCAGGCAGAAACTCCCTCCAACTGAGATAGCTGGTATGGAAGTGGGTGGGTGGGAAAGTGTTACTACTCGGCAGTTGTGTTTGCCTTGTGTTTGCAAATAGAATAGCAGGGTGTTTCAAAACATGGGATTTGGTTTCTCCAAATACCACACAATGCACAGACTCTGCAGCAAACAAAGCTTGGGTTCATAATTTGCCTGGTTTGTAATAGCCGTTGCTATGTATGAATGTAAAATATTATTTCTAGATAGCACAATCTGCAATTTGAAGAAACATCTTTTTGATATCCATTAGGTCCTGAATTGTGTTGCCTCTGTCAGTTTGAAACCCCAGACACTATGCAAATATAGCCAGTTAGTAAAATCTCCCTTCCCTGTTCTTGGATTCACTTCTTAAGCAACATGCACATTCGACAAGGATCTTCGAAGCAATGCTTACAGGTGAACTAAGGAGGAAGCTGTGCTAGGCATGTTTTAGCTGGTAGCTGCTCTCAAACACATTACTAAGAGTGCTTGCAAATTAGAAATGTAGCATCATCTATTAGTGCCATAGCTATGCTAGAAAATTGTACCAAAAATCCCCTCATGTGCTAATGCTTGTCAGCTGAATGAGGGGTAGCACTGGGGGCTCCCCTAGCATGGCCATTGGTAGCTTTATTTTTTGTTAAACCAGTTTAATTTGACATAGTGATTAAAAAAACAGGTCATGCTGCAGAAAATCTATACCAGAGCTCCCTGGGGGTTAGCTGAGCAATGTTGGCTCCTGTGGGAATGTTTGTGTACGATTTCCTCGTTCAGACAGGGCTGGGCTACTTGCTCTTGCTTCAGCTATTTTGCCTGAGAAAAAATTAAACATTTTAGGATTTAGTTGGGCTGGTGCTCTGTAAATCACTGATGTAGTAGTGACACCATTTCTATCCCATTGCAGTTCAGAACAGTCAACCAGCTACTACGAGTTTCTTGGAGTGAACAGCTGTCAGGATGTGGTTCACTTGTACCGGCTGCTGTGGGCCTCCACAGTCCTGAACATCGTTGGATTGTTTCTTGGGATAGTCACGGCAGCCATACTTGGAGCCTTTAAAGACATGGTAAGACTTGCAAGTCCTGCAGCTTTTCATCAGTGGTGATTTCTGTATGTTGCTAATTATCCTGTTACCTAATGTGTTAAAAAAATAGACAGCAGAACCATACACAGCAAGTGCTCACAAAATGTTTCCTGCATGAGCCTTGAGTTCTTGGACTGTGCTCTGGCCAGGTGTTATAGCTAAGTAGCATCAGGCCTGGTTAATACACATGTGTACGTAAGAAGCTGGCATCTGTAGCAAGTCATGTGGGTGGTTCAGTAAGTGGCCTCTTTTTTCAAAGTCTGCACTGAACCATTGGCCCCACATGCTGCTAGAAGGTGCCAGTTTGGTGCAGGTGGTGCCAATTTAATAGATATATGAAACTGAGGTCCTAACCACTTGTGAATATTAAAGATTGTGTGATTGTCTTCCAAAGAGCAGGGATTAACTCTGGGGTATCAGCCAGGTTCTGGTGTGAACTATTACATTCTGCTAACCTAAGTCCCCTTTTTGGTTTCCATAAGAGATGTCATTCTTCTTCCCTGCCTCAGCCTGCCCTAACCCGCTGTGCAGTGGTGGTGTGTGAGGACAATAGCTGCTGCGCTGTGCTGAAGAGGTGGCTGTGATTAAGTGTGGATAAAATGATTCCAAAATACATGGCTGTATGTTCCTGGCTGTTCTGCAATGGGGAGCGGCTCAAACCCAGGTTACTGTGATTACACGGGGCTAGGGAAACAGCACAGATGGAACAGACATGCTTCCTCCCTTCCCCTCAGGAGCCGCCACCACCACAGCAGTGTTTACTTTACAATATTCATAGGTCTTTGGGGTATCACTTGCCAAAAGCAAGAGGAGGGTGGAGAGACCAGGGAGCATTGCGTCCAGCAAAGCTGCCTTCATTTAGCTGCAAAAGACCATGCATAAGTTAATGTTGCTTGTCGCCACATTAATTCCTGGTGTGCATCTTCTGTGGTTCAGTAGGGGCCAGGACTGATTCAGACAATGCTAGTCAACCTGTAGCTACAGAGGCCCCTGCCTAAAGGGCAGGTTGAAACAGTGATGTGATGTTTGCCTTTGCTGCGTGATGGGGAGTGTAAGCTATTTTGTGTGCAACTGGGGATGGAGGAGGAGCTGGGGCTAGCGGCAGAGCTGGCTGGGGGCGGAGCTGGTCTGGGGGCGGAGAGGGCCTGAAGGTGGAGCGGGATTGGGGGCTAAACGAGGTTGAGGGAGGAGCTGCATGCCTCCCCGCCCCCGAATGTTCCTCCACACCACCCTCGGGGGGCACGCTCCACAGTTTGGGGACCACTGCTTATAAAATATATTCCTCCTATTCCAGCACAACCACCCCAGTGTGCTTCTTCAGCAAAACACACACAGGAAAACAAGCTAT